GGTTGCAAAATTTTCGAGAAAAAATTATTTTCGACTATCAGTATCATATTTGACCTAGATTTTGGCTCATATTTTAACTTTTTGGCTTATTAATAACTTTGTTTTCTCAGATTACAGCAAAAATTATATAAACAGACATAGACACATAATGACTAGTAATTATAAGAAGTTCTTAAAAGTCGGCATTGATTTCCTTATAGAGGAATTAAAAATATACATACTTTATCGAGGTCGTTTACTACCGAGGAGTTATCAAAAATAACTACGTATAATTACCCTAATTTTTCAGTTTTCTCTTGCTGAAGTGTGCTTATTTTTCCGTTCCGCACTTTAACGTCTTGGAACCATATTTCCTTGGACGCATATCGATCGATCGGGTCCTTAAACTCGACGTAATTTGAAATTCTCTTAAACAACCGAGAAAACGTCCAACGATACAGTTAAATTAACTATAAAATAACGATTTAACGGGCGCCATTGAGCCGCCGCGACCCTCCGAAAACGTTACGTAAGCAAAAAACAGTCTAATTTTTAAAAAGAGCCTCGGCTGGTTTCCTATCACCATCGCCTGCTTTCATTAATAATATCGACGCTCGGCATCTGCGGCGTCCCGAATATCGTCGTCGTCGTCTAAGGCGAGACCCTCCCTCCAAATCTGGCGTCTATAAATTGCGATCTAGCTCTTTTCCACTTTGAATTCTAATTAACATTTGGTTCTTCCATTAGTGTAATTAAAATGCCATTCTGCAAGTTCGGGGTACCTTGTCTCTTCTTTTATCTACTGACGGTGACTTACAAATTTCGTTATTAATTCGTGATAAACAAATCGAAAATAACAAAAGTGAAAACTATATCATTGGCATCATTATGCGTTAATTAAAAATTGGCGTATGCATAACCTGAACGACATACGAGAAAAAATTGAAGAGAAATTCTTAACTTAAATAATTATTCACTAAGGTTGATTTGTAGATCGAGCAAACTAACCAAGAAATGCCCGCTTTAAGTAAGGACCACATCAATAGAAGTAACTAAACTTCTAAAGCAACTCTGCAAGTGCTAGTTTCTGATATTTAGAGCACTTGGAAGTATTACAAAAATAAATTCTTAATTTTTTTAAAAACCAGGATTATTCCTTTGAACTGTTGTCAACAAATTTGGTCCTCCAACATATTCTCTAGCAAAATAGTTTCTATATTAAAACCCTTTGCAGGAAAACTGTTAGTTTGGTACTTAATTCCTCTCATTTCATTAAGGACTAAAACCCATTACATTAGATCCACAGGATTTCCTGGTTGGTTTCGACGCAGAATCTGTCTTTACTATTCCTGAAACTTTCAACATTATTTCAGATGTATTAAAATCCGAGAATATGGAAGAACATCTTAATGAAAAAATGCTTATCTGGAACATATTGTGACTGTCAATTTATGAACAAATATCAGGAACAGCTATGGGTTATCCTGAGATATATTAAAATTCGAGAACCTAGTAGCAAACCTTCTCATCTGAATTGAAAAATGCTTGCCTGAATCATGTTTTTCTTATAACGGTCAAGTTTATGAAAAATGTTGGGAACAGGTATAGGTTCTCCATTGTCACCAGCCATCGCGAATATATTTGTGGCACTCTAAGTTGATGATACCATTGTTATTTGGCCTCCTAGATTTTCTTAGCCATTTATGGAATTAGAAACTAATAATAATCTCCCATTCTTAGATATTCCTATCAATAGAAACTCAGACATAACATTGGGTCATTCTGTTTACAGGAAACCTACGCACACAGACCTTAATGCATTTTTATATCACCTTCCGGTCCAAAAATCATCATCATCATCAATTATCTTGTTTACAAAGGCCTAAAACTTAGCCCGAACCCAGAATTGAAACTCATTTTATGTTCTCTCTATTAATGTTCACATTAGAGATATTGAGCATTCCATGACCAACTTGCTACTGTTGTCCTTCCTTACATTCAAAACATCAAAAGTTCTTAAGGAATATAACGTCAAAACCAGATTTAATACTTGTTCGAAAATCTCTCAACATCTTCGATCAGTCAAAGACAAAATTAAAATTGAGATACCAGGAATTTACAGCGTCCCATGCATAAGCAGCAAAGAATACATTGGCGAAACCGGAAGAAAAATATCAAGCAGACTTAGCAAGTTCGATTCATCAACAACCGACGCATAAGAGTTATAAATAGAATGCATTCTTATGAATAGTATGAAGTCGGAAGCCCTTAGGATCTGTTATACAGATTGTAATGATAAAAATAAAATAAAGCATACAAATATGGGGGAAAATAAAGTTTTTATTTTTCATCCTCAAAACAAAAATTGAAAAATAAAATTTTAAGGAATTATGACTATTACAAAAACGCGCTTTCTGCATATTTTTTCAATTTTTTAAAATGAGTAGAGGGAACTGAACTAGAGCACGCCAATAGTTCTTCCTAACTGAATTTAAATAATAACGGACTAGGAATCCAGAATATTTGTAAATAGTATGAATTCTTAAGATAATACTTCGGAAGCCTTTAGGATCTATTACACAGGATGATACAAATACGCAACACTTAAGGTTTGATTCCTTGTTCAAAATAAAGCGTAGTTTATTATATAAACCTTGAGTATAAATTCGACCACATCACACTACAAATATGGAGGACAAATAAATTTTTTATTTTTCATCTTCAAAGCAAAAACATAAAAATAAAATTTTAAGTGAGTATCACCATTATAAAAACACACTTTCTCCGTTTTTTTTCAAATTTTTAAAATGAGTAGAGGGAACTGAACTAGAGCATCCCAATCGTTCTTCCTGACTGATTATAAATGACTTGCAATTTTTTACATCCTATTTTTTTATTTGGAACCGGATGAATGAAAAATACAAAAGACAAAAAAGTTTCTAAGTATACCTAGCTATAGAATTTCTTTTTCCTTGTGATTGCGTTAATTAATATGCTAATGAGCATTAATAGAGATAAATTCAACTCGACAGCTCAATCCGTCATACGTTATAAAGACTTGATGCCCCTCAGAATAATATTTTCTTTAGCTACAAAAATACACAATATCCTTGCTGAAGAATAAAAACAATTGTTACATTTTAAGTAATTTCTTTGCATATTACTTCGAGCATTAGTTTTGACAAGAGCTTTTAAAAATAAATTAAATATCATGGTACTAGAAACAAACAGACAATTTCAGTTCTTAACAACATTTTTTTGTGACTATTTGAATAAATTGGACAATTTCTAAGTATGACAGTAAACTTTTTTTTTTTAAATAGTTGACGAAACTGGATACTGATTATTTTCTGTTGCTGTAACTCGTTTGTATGAATAAACTTTATTACCAATTTTATTAATTAAAAGACGAATTAGAAAGGAAAATTATAATAATCACAAAACTTAAGGGTTAAATAGATGACCCAAGCAAAAAGCATAATTTTTAAAATTAACAAAATGTTAAAAATTTCTTCACTTAATTACTTTTTGCTTTTAGTTTCTTCATCCTTTCTTTTCCGTAGCCGCCATTTACATTCATATGGTTTGCAAAGAGCAGACCCTACGACCATAAATTCATTTTCACACGGAAAATCGCTCCCTGATTTATTCAAATCGTTTAAAAAACAATTTTTTATTTGCCGCCATGAATATGGATGATAAACACTTTTACGTCGCTTCTCCCTACGCCCGAGCGTGTTTTTATTTTCACATATGAATTTATCGCCCACATATTTTTTAATAAGTTTAAAAGCTGAATATGTGGAGAAAGACGCCGGGTCTGTGATACGAAAATTTTGTTTTATTTTCGTAAGATATGCGAAAAATTCATACGACATTTCGCTGAAGCGGACATCATGTAATATTATCATATATTACAGAAAATTAACTATCAGTCTAAGACAATTGAGTAAACTTTACTTAAGTCAACACTGTGTGTGCGTTTTTATTTTAGTTTTCGAATTCCACACGGCGATTCAATTATGTGCTTTTATTTATGGCGGTCCAGTAGCGTACCAAACTGTGGAAAAAAATGTCTTTTTTTGTATAAGAAAATAATCACAATTCAAATTCAAGCTTTATACACTGAACAGGTGATACAGGGTGTTAGTTAATTATAGGGCAAATTCAAATATAAAAGTTCATACAAAAATGAGTCCTACAATGTCAGCTTTGGATAATGCAAAATGTCAAAGAAATAACTAGTTTTAAATTAACTCACCCACCATTTTGCCCATTTTTTTTGCGAATTTCGCGTATTTTTTAAGAAAATTGGTTAAAGCAAACCTTAGTTAATTGTAAGTGTATTAATTTAATTAATACAGAATACAAAAACAATATAAGCTTCAACGTGTTCTTAAAATTGCAAAATTGTCATAACATTAAGGTAGATGTGGCAACACTGCAACAATAAGAATATTTTTAAAATGTCGACCATTGCCCCCTACGGGCCAAAATCAAAATTTCATATCAATATCTCTCTAGATTCTTTTAATTCGCAAATAGTCACTAATGTATTTTAAAAAATGAAAACCTAATCTAAGGATAAGTGACATCAAGAGATACTAATCATCTCCAACACAAATTTGAGGAATTGTTTTTAGTTACCTCAAAGTGTTCAGAATTCGAGTAAAAAGATTTTTCCGCTAAAAGCTCTGTTACCCATGTTTTACATAAGGAAAATTGTTCATTTGTTTTAAATTAAGTTGGCAACAAATTATTTTCAAGCAACGTCTTCTCACTGTCTCAGTCCGAGACAGACGATATTGTTGAATGTAAAGCAGATTGCGTGGGTAGTTTTTATTAATTAATTGCCAATTGCCAGTTGTCAATGGCCATGGTCAAAAGTTATTTAGTTTAGTTAGTTTAGTTTAGTTAGAATATTCTCTGAACTACAATCTACGTAATAGAATTTTATATGCATTTATAAAAAGTCTGGTTTTCTAGCAACGCCCAAAAATAAAATTTAATCAAATTTCCAGGTGCAAACGCATTCGCACGGGAACGTCGCGGAAACATCTTCGGAGTCACCAGCTGCGACCAGAAGCGAAGGTAAACATTAAAACTTTTTAAATCTTTCGCGGGAAATTTCTTTAATTCGCACATAGACGACATCGTTCTTGGAATTAATAATCGTTTCTTTCTGGAATTTTTCGTTCCGAGATTTGCAAAATTACGGCTTACATATATTTCGAGCACTTTAAACACATTCGCGAAACTAATGGCACAGTTTCGCCGAATACATTTTGATCGATAGACACAAATATTAAAAATGTGTATATATTAATTGTGCATTGTTTTTCAAATCTAGAGCAGACTCCTGAAATAGCGACATCTTATTACTAAAACACACAAAAATAAGTTTTTATTTGTTAATCGTTATTTCCAGACGTATCATGAAAACTCTTTGCTGCAATATGAATCCTCAACATGTTAACAATTTGTAGGGCTCCCTCATTTTTAAAGTCCAAGTTGCCGACAACAAGAATCAGTTCTTTCTCCTTTTCGAGGTTATTAAAAAAAACATTTAGGGTACGTCCTAGTCTGCGACCACGAAAGAATAATGGTGGCGGTGGAGTAATTTGCTAGTGGGGTGGCAAACTTCGACGTGGCACTAGATATTTAGTACCTAAGCTATTTCCTCTTAATTTTTGAAAAAAAAATACCAGCTATAACTAAAGTGGAATGAATATGAAAATATTGAACACTTGCTGTATACTTAGAGTTGAAATTTTGACTGTGTGATAATATAGGTATAGAGAACTACTTTTGTGTGTTCTAAAGTTATCCATTAATAAATTTCAATGTATGCTAAACAATGAATTAGATCGGCAATCGCAAACGTTGGTGGTGTAAAGAAAGGCCGACCCTGCACAAGAGCGCAAAACTGCTACTAGAAGGAATGTATATCTTTGCAGTGAATTTTCGCTTCAAGTTTCAAGGAAAGTTTGAAAAACAATCTTAATACATCGAATGCCGTTATTTAAAAGCCCCGTTTGATGAGACGGAAGCATCCTTTTCTTCTTTTTCGAGCGCCATCTATTTGATGTTGGCCCGTAAAAAGCCAACTTATATAGGAATTTCATCATTATAATATTGTTTGCGAAGTTTTAAGGCGGATAGATGCCGAACTCTTAAAGAATTAAGTACAAAATAGTTTCGTGCAAAAACGAAGACATTGTATTCGAAACGTTGGCATATTGACAGCAAAAGCAATTTGAAAACGTAAACATCGTTAGTGGTGGCGTCAACTAGACGTTAATCTTCCGTAAAAAAAAGTAAAATGTTTTAAGGTTCACGCCGCACACCATAGGAAAAGATTTATTATCTCGTCGCTGTAGACAAAACATATTGGTGCCAGTTTCCAGTTTTAATGACTCCTGGATAGTCCAGGCTGTTACGAATGTACGAATATGTATGGTCCGTCAATAAGTATATGTATGTGAATTGATTTCATTCAATTTGAAGAATTCGTTCACTACATGTAGCAACTGGTTTCAAATTGACACTTGCACACTTAAAAATCGTTATTACAAAAAAACTAAACCTAAAACAGTCAGAAATTTTTACAAATTAAGAAAAAACATTGATATATATTATTAATATCATTTATATTGCACTGTTATAGGTAACTACTTTGTTAAAATGTTAAATATGCCGTATATACTTTAATATTCATTCTTTTAAAATAATATTCGATTTCCATTTGACTATACTATCCAAATCAATATGCAAAAATATCAGTGGCGTGCCATTTTCCTTCAAATGTGTGTGATACAAATAGCGGACTTACGCCACTCATGGAAATAAAATAATTTGTTTTGCACCTAAAAAGGCTACTGATGCACAGAATTTAATTACCAAATTTTCAGAAAAATATCTAGAATCTTCTCTCAAATAATATTTTAAAAATTTATCCAGAAAACTCTACCACCCTATAGTTAATACGTTTGACATTAAGAAACTCCCTACATATTATGGTTTTTCATCCATACGGTATATATCGTAAAAATAAAATAAAATAATAACACATTCTTCTACACAGTTTTTTGTGTATCCGCTTAAATAGTTTTTAAATATTGAAATGGTTGAACAAGTGAAATTTAGGGGGAAACGTACAACCCCAGAATAATCATTTAAATGTTCACCTAATGCGATCTAGTAACTATTACGGCCAGAAAAATTGAGACACACAAAGGGCTAGTTGAAAAACTCAACAAACTATTCAGTGAGTATTTGAAAAGGATTACTAGGATCCATCCCATGTTAACCGATTTTCTATTCTTCGAATTTCTCTGCGTTGAATATAAATTCATTAAATTAGCAATGCCTTGATAACTTGACAATTTCCATGGTTAAAACTAGAGAACCAGAATACCGTTTATTAACAATAACCGTTATTTAGCAAAAATAGTTGAGTTACTCATAGGCATTATTGTTAACGTATGTTATTATAGAAAATTACAAAAAGTAAGAAGTATTTATTTAAGCATACAAAAATCATACATAAATGTCTCTTTTGATTGCACATTAGCACATGATTCATGTACCCATTCACGACATTTAAGGCACTGTATCATATCTTCCACGACTGCTTCAGAACAAAGCTTGCAATACCACTCGGCGTTAACTTTTTTCGTCGATGGTTATCCCAAATCTAAATTAACTTTGCCCTTAACGTTGGCCTTTCTTTTCCAGGTGTTTGTTTAGCTTCTAACTGCTCTTTATATGGAGCAGCAGCCTTTTTAATACTGTTAATTTCGTCCTGATCAACTTGTGGGAACCTAGAATTTGAATTGAAGATGAGTGGGATCCATATTTTGACTCTAATGTTTTTGCTTTTGAAACTGGTTCTTGGGGTGAATGGCGACTTAAGCCATTTTTTGGCGCCAGTATGATTCTAATTTCATGTTTTCTTTTGAAGTCTTGTTTTTAAGAAATATAATTAACGGGATATTGTCATCGTCGTTTTCAGGCTCTGACAAATCTTCAGCGGCTTGTCTACTTTTATTTACAGTTAGAAAATCCACAGGAGTAAAATCGACTTCAATGAATACATTTCTATCGACTTACCATAACCCGCTTTTTGGGAATCCATTGATGGTAGTGGTAATCACTGCCGCTAGAAGATATGCTTCTCCAAGTAATTTAGCTACTTGATATTGAGACACGGTAAGACCAACATTAGTTCTCAGCCATTTCTCATTTGCTTCGTTGTAGCAATGCTCGAGTGTCTTAAAAACCACTACATCTAGTAGTCTGATGGAGATCGAAGAAACTTTTGACATTTGAATGTAAGGATTGGATCCCTGGGCACTAAGCCGTAAAGTTATTTTTTCCAGCGCGTCCCTTCTGTTTTCATCAGCTATTTCAAATGCAACTTTGCGTATTTTTTATTGTTACATCAAAAAACAATTTTTCAAGACAATTTTTCTTCAAATTCGAGAGAGAAAACTGTAACTCGCCCAAAACGTTTCTGATTGCCATTAGTCAGTTTATCCATCCATCCATCCAACGCATTTCGTGTAAGCCGTGATTATTATTGCCTTTATATGCTTCTAACGCCTTAGCCATATGCGCTTGACCACACTGACCATACTTCTTTTTCTTTTCAATCGGAGGCATTCTGCAAAAAAGAAGTGAAGTAGAGTGGGTACTTAAAATTGGACCATCAACATTTGCTACGTAGAAAATTCTAGAAAATTGAAATATTGGTTTTGGTTTGATTAAATTTAACAGTGGAAAACGATACATAGAAAACTAACTAACAACATTATCTTCAATGGTCGCCTAATTTGGGCAACCAAGTGCTGGTCCAATTTAAGAAACCATAACTTTTACACATGTTTCTTATTTTTCATTCCTATAGTTTAATCAACTGCAAATCCCTCGAGATGTTTAGCAAGACTTAACTGTTCTATTACAAGCAACGTGCTTTTCTCTTTAAAATTTGTTTCACTGGGGATCTCTTAAGAACCAATTTGAAAAATTAGATAACGCCATACAAATTCACTAAACTGACTATACAGGGTGTTAAAAAAGTACGCTGCCAAACTTTAAGAAAAGATTCCTTGCGTGATTTTAAGACGAAAAATTCATATAAACATAGTTCCAAAAATGCATATTTTTCAAGATGCAGGATATTAAAATTTTCTAAAATATTTGTTTTTTCTCTTATAACTTTTATATCAGTTTCGATATTATTATCAAATTTGGTGAACATTCTTTAATTATTGAGAGGCGGTTTTTGACACAGAAGCTTCATTTTTATTTTGACTAGTGGCGTCCGTACCGGGTTTGAACTGAATATTTTTAACGAAAAAATGGCACGTCATTGCTTTTTCTGAAAACAAAATTGATTTTTAAAATCCCCATTTAATTTGGAGCAAATTTGGCGCATGAACCAAGACTGCTTTCGTACAACGCACGGTTTTCGCTTAAAAAAATAAATAAATTCCAAAAATTAACTACTAACAGGAAGACGTTTATTATTAAATAATATTAAATAACTGTAAACTATCTTAACCAACAATAGTCCCCCAGAAAAAAGTAAATTAGAGCAGTGGTGTTCCTAATAATTGTACAAGAGTCTTCTATCCGATTTCAAGATCTTCCTCACTTTGGACTGGTGTTGTGTACACTAATGAAAGTAATTTTTAAACACGTGTATTCCAAACCGTTTTTTTTTTTCTCAAAATTTTATAAAACTACTACAGCGTTTTGCCTTGCCACATGTTAGAAACTGTAAAAAAAATGTGTATTTAAATTATAGCAACATACTAATCGATATGACGGGTTGTTTCCCTTAAAACTCCCCATTTAATTTTTATTCCATTTATTGGTTACTTTAAGAGGGCACTCTATAAATACCGCCAAGGAAACTATCATCAAAAATAATAATATTAATATGTATTATGTTGATATTTTGGGGATGCGCGATATTACGACCTTACATGGATTTGGAAAACGCGAAACGGGGGGTCTATATATTCTATATATCGGAACCCTCTGTTTCGCCAAGAGCGTTTCGGAGCCTCTTCGCTATGTATTTA